CAAGGCCTTGAGCTATTATGAATCCCACGGTTTTGTGTTGGATTTGGCTGGTGGGAAACGGGAATGATTCAATAATGAAACAATGCTCACCTGGTTGGTAGGGTGGGTGGGGGGGCATTGGTTTTTCACGGCGTGCCCCGGTAATTGGCTCATCCTGCTGCTCGAGAATGGGGCCGTAGGCGCCAGAGAGGGGAGAAGAAGCCACGAAGCTTGGGCAGCAGCTGCTGGTGCTGATGGTGCTGCTAGTGCTTCAGCTCCTGGTGGTGCTGATGGTGCTGGTGGTGCTGATTCTGCTGATGGTGCTTCAGCTGCTAGTGGTGCTGATGGTGCTGGTGGTGCTGCTTCTGCTGATGGTGCTTCAGCTGCTGGTGGTGCTGATGGTGCTGGTGGTGCTGGTGGTGCTGCTTCTGCCGATGGTGCTTCAGCTGCTGGTGGTGCTGATGGTGCTGGTGGTGCTGGTGGTGCTGCTTCTGCTGATGGTGCTTCAGCTGCTGGTGATGCTGATGGTGCTGGTGCTGCTTCTGCTGCTGCTGCTGATGGTGCTGATGGTGCGTGTGTTGCTGCTGCTGCTTCTGCTGCTGATTTTGCTGCTGCTGGTGCTGATGCTGCTCGTGCTGCTGCTTCTGCTGATTTAACTGCTGCTGCTTCTGCTGATTTAACTGCTGCTGCTGCTGCTGATGCTGCTGATTCTGCTGCTGATTTTGCTGCTGCTAGTGTTTTTGATGCTGATGCTGCTGCTAATGCTGCTGCTGATGCTGCTGCTGATGCTGCTGCTGCTGATGCTGCTGCTGATGCTGATGCTGCTGCTGATGCTGCTGCTGATGCTGCTGATGGTGATGCTGGTGTGCTGCTCGTGGCGTTGCTAGTTGTGTTGTTGCTCCGGAGTCCGGGGGGCGGGGGGATCGATGATGATCAGTGTTCGGTGGCCGCGTTTATGGAGTTCGTCGTGATCTCTCGCTCAACAGAGTGGGCCGCGTGACAGCCGCCACCTTTCACTCCCTGATAGTGTTGCTGTTAGTGCTGCTGCGTATGATGGTTCTGCTACTGATAGTGTTGCTGCAAGGACTGCTGCTGCTGCTGCGTATGATGATTATGTTGCTGCTGATAGTGCTGCTCCTACTGCTGGTGCTGCGTATGATGCTGCAGCTGATGGTGCTGCTGCGTATTATGCTACTGCTGATGGTGCTGCTGCTCGTGCTGGTGCTGCGTATGACGCTCCTGCCGCCGATAGTGCTGATGCTAGCGTTGCTGCGTGTGATGATGCTGCTGCCGATAGTGCTGCTGATGTGTATGATGCTGCTTTGCTAGTGCTGGTGCTGCGTATGACGCTGAGGCTGCTGCTGCTGCCGTTACGAGCCTCTGAGTTATCAAGAGTGCACAATGACTTGATTTGGGAGCTCACCTGGCGACGCGAAAAAAAACGACTTTTTTACAGATTAACATTTTCTCAGTAGCAGGGCATCTGAGAGCGTGACTGTCCTGGTGTGTGAATTTTTAAAAAAAGATAACTTGAAGGAATTTTAGAAACAATCCCCACGAAATCGCCTTCCATTGGCTGTCCTCTGACACATGGGCCTGCTCTGCTCTGGGCGAGTTCCTATTGGATGCGGTATTCTCTCGATATTCGCGAGGGATATTGGTTTCGGAGATGCCCATGATGAGCACGATAATAATGTTTGCCTACGAATATCGTGCGCGCAACGTTTGCAGATGCTTCTCAAGCTTCAAGAAGTTCTCTCTATCTCTCTCATCTCTCTATCTCATCACTTTTTCCCATCAGTTTCTCTATCATCGCTTTATCTTTCATATCTTTCGCATTACGATCTCATCACTTTATCTCTCATCACCTTCTCACCATTCACTTCATCTGATCACTTTATCTCTCATCTATGTATCTCTCATTACTATCTCATCACCATCTCATCACTTTCTCTCCCACCACTTTATCTCTCATCAATTGATCTCACTTCTCTCTCATCACCATTTCATCACTTTCTCTCTTACCACTTTTTCTATCATCTCTTTATCTCATCACTTTATCCAATCACTTTCTCTCTCACCACTTTCTCATCTCTTTATCTCATCACTTTATCACATCACTTTCTATGTCTCTCTCTCTCCACGCAGTCGTGGAAAATTCCAGATGCCAATAGCAGATCGGGAGTTCTCGAATAACGAGGGGACATTACTTAATTTCGAGACGTTTTGGTCCGCCAGCTATGACCAGACCTACCACAACTCCTCATTCACCACTCCCTCCTGTTCACCTAACTGTCACCATAACTACACCACCACTTTTAATAACAACCCCACTATTTATTATCTCAACCACCATCACCTTTCACGTACATTTTTTTAAAATATAATTGCTGTGAAACTCTTTAGAATAAGGGGTTATGAAACATTCGATATCGATTGAAATTAAATTTAGGAGGGGGAAAAAAAGTTGCTAGCAAAAAAAACCGTGCAAGCGATATAATCATCGGCATCGAGGAATTCTTCCAGGAAATAATCGGTTCCGCATCCGCCGGGGGGGGGGGGGGGTGGCGAATTCATTCTGGCAACGGCAAAGAAGAAGGTGTTAAATAATAAATGTCCCTTTTCTCGGGGCCACATATTTTCCTCCCGTTGCTTTTACACGTCAAAAAAAAAAGAAGCCCCGTGGGTAATGGACGCGATTTGACAACATCTTGTGTGGGTATAAACACGGTTTTAAAAAAAAAATTGACGTTTTAAACGAGAGCTATATTAAAATATAAGTGCCTTTGCCTAATACTTATGTTCAGTGTCGGTGGGTTGCTGTCGAAATCCTCCTGGCTTTTTAGTAACGTGTTAGGTTTGGAACCGAATATGATACAGCTGTGGATTTGATTTAGTGCGTTTGTTTCAAAGGCTTACACACGTACTGTGTCTATATAGAGCACTCTCGTATGTGATTGCCGTTCACTCGCTTTGGTCTGCCTTTGCACATATTCTAGTTAACACGCGATTCTTTCGTGAGGGAACAAAGAAATAAAGGTAGCAGCAGCTCCTTGACATTCCACGTGACTGCATTTGATGCCATCTGACAACGTTTTGCTATTTTTCGCACTTTCATACCATTAGCCCTCTACATTTATGTCAAAGATTGGCAATTATGCATACACCTTTCCACCTTCAATCTCATCTCACAACCTTCCATCACCTTCCCACCGCCTCGGCTCATTACTGACCGGTTCTTCTTCTTCTGTCTTTGCGCTCATCATTATTTATCGCATTCATCGGCCCCCTATTCCTGTACCCATCCTAAGCCTTTCCAGCCTGCCAAACCTTGCTTCCTCACTGGTTAATATACGTTTCACCACGGGCGTGAGCGCGTATCCTCCCGGCCCCTTTGGCCTCCTCGGTCCGGCGCAGTCCACACGCCCCAAACAGCACGCTCATTTCTCTGTCTCTGGAGACGTTATTTTCTTCGTCGTAACGAGCTTCTATTGGGTTAGACCGTCGCTTCGTGTGTAATGTCGAATAAAAATTAATTATAACCCTCCACCGCCTGACAGAGCCAATCGTCTTTGCAGCAGCAGCGGTGGCTTTTGGCCTAGCCTTCGAACAAAGATGGTCACCGCATCGCGCGCTTTCAGATGCGCTTCTGCGACCGTCTGGAACGCTCTTCCTTCCGATATTATTAAATCAACCATTTTCTTTACAATTGCTTTTTGAGTTTAGTTTGTTGTCTTTCCCCCTCCAAACCGATTAACACGGTCGACTGCTTACGGTGTGAAAGAAGTTCAACATGCAGTACGTACATAGAATCAAGTTGTCACGTGGCAAAATGTTCGAATTTATTTGTTATTTTGGTCGGGAAACAGGCGGATTGTTGGAGAAGCAAGCAAAGCGTCGACAACTTTGCCCGACGTTCTGCCCGACGTTCTGCCCGGATATTACGGGCCAGCGCCATCGGGTTTTTAGCGAAAGCTCCACTCTCCCGTTGTCACCTTCCTTGCTACGACTCCCCACTTGCAGCGACAATAATCCGTGGTTATAATCATTCAACACGTTTAGCGCTCGCGCCGTTCTTATCGCGCGAGGCTACCGCAAAGGAAGCCGCTATTTTTCATAAGCCACAATCTGCCGACGCTGCTGCTGTATAATCCTAATTGAGTCATTTGGAGGTAATGTTTCAGCACTGGTACGTTTGCCCAACACCCGGGGTGTTGTATGTTTTTTCTTTCCTTTTTACCTAGCCGAGGAAACCAGAGAACCCTGGAGGATACTCAAGCAGAACAAGGGGGAGACCATACACACCCCGCAGAGTCGGGAATTAACATGCAGGACCTTCTTTAACAAACGCTACCAAAAATACAATTTGTAACGCACACAATAATTCATGAACGTAAATGACATTGACTCTGAGGTGCGGAGACAAGCTCGGCGTCACTCGAAGGCTGGGCAAGAGAGGTTTGGGCCTTTAAAGTATCTCTTAAAAGTCAGAATGGATTGAACTTTGCTGCTGCTACTGCTGTGAATAGTCAGCAGCAGCAGCAGCGGGACGATAATGAATCGTGATGATGGCCGCGTTCCAGACGGCGGGGTGCTGCCCCGGAAAAGCGACTCCGGGTAGTGACCAGGGCCCTGCTCCTTGGTGTAGAGAGGAGGAGGATGCTGCTATGAGTCGCTCTGCTGCTACTGCAACTCTGGAGGAGAGTTCCACCGTGAGCTGTCGTGCAGGGCAACCAGAATGACTCTGGAGAGATGCGGGGGGCTGCGACAGAGAAATGACGCCTGACAGTGTCGGCCCTGCTCCTTGGTGTAGAGAGGAGGAGGAGCAGGAGGCTGCTGCGAGCCGCTCTGATGATGACGCTGCGGGGAAGGAGAGCTCCGTCGTGAGCTGGGGTGCAGGCTGACAGGAGCCAAGAGAGATATGTTGGAGGCATGAATGTCGTTACGACTGCGCTACCATCCATGCCGGTCGTCCCGGTAACCGCTGTGCCACTTCCTTGTGCCGTTTGCCAACCCCGCAGGCTTGCCGCTACGGCCACGTGCAGCACCTGGAGCACCTGCTCTTCTACGGCGCAGACATGTTGGCGCAGAACGCCTCCGGGAACACCGCGCTGCACGTGTGTGCTCTGTATAACCAGGTGAGCGCAGCTCCCTCCTCTTCCCTCTTCATCCTCCATCCCCATCCTACCTCCTCATCCTCCATCTCCATCCCTATCCTACCTCCTCATCCTCCATCTCCATCCTCCATCCCCATCCACCATCCTCATCCTGCCTCCTCCATCCCCATCCTCCATCCCCATCCTGCATTTCCATCCTCCATCCCTATCCTCCATCCCCATCTTCCCTCCTTATCCTCTCTCCTCATCCTCCATCCCCATCCACCATCCTCATCCTCCATCCCCATCCTCCCTCCACATCCTCCATCCTCATCCTCCACCCCCATTTCTCTCTCCTCATTCTCCCTCCTAATCCTCCATCCCCATCCTCCATCCCCATCCACCATCCTCACCCTGCCTCCTCATCCCCCTCCCTCACCACCCATCCCTCCTCTCCCTCCCTCCTCTCCCTCGCGTCCTCCACCACACAAACTGCACGGACTTCCCATCGTTAGAGATTCTGCTACAGGAACGCCGCAAGTGAACACAGCCAGATGTCTCTCTACCGAGTGGATTAATTTTTTTTAACTAATTTTAGCTCTCGATCGGCGTGGTGTTCCAAATGCGAAAAGAGGTGGAGGTCACGCACTGTGTTTAAATACGTACCAATGTCTCACATTACCAATGTACCAATGTGTCACATTGCTACATTGGTAATGTGAGACATTGACATTGGTCAGCGGATGAAACTGTTTTTCCCCCCCTCCAAAATGTCACTGAAATACGTCGCATCATGAAATCTAGAGAGAATCTATGGAACCTGTCGTAGACTTATAATTGTGAGCCATGAGTTAAAAGTCATGCAAAACCTGGTTGTGGCCTGATGATGCTAGTTATAATTACTGGCGAATTGTACGCGTTGTGGTTTAATCTTGATTTGAAGCTTTCGTGACTGCAGGAAACCATACTCTTTGGTTCTTTCGGTAAAGTCACGTAGGTAGATAAAAATAATAGGGGTAGCCCCCTCCCCTCTTTTTCACCTGAAGACGGTTGCTTGTGTTGCGATCGAAACGTCGTGATCTATTATTATTTCTACCTACGTGATTTTGTTTCCGTGACAAGCCCTTACAGAGGGCTTGTCACGGAAAACTGTGGTGGCCGGTTTAACGACACATTTAAATTTACGCGATCTTAACCCAAAAAAATAACCTCTTAGATCGTTTGCACCAATTGCTCCGGAACGCTTTAAAAAAAAACGTCGGCGTTTGTATTCGCGTGTGGCATCTTGGACGGCTCGTTGGAACGACCGCTCGATCGAGACACCGAGCTGGCACCGGTCACGGCACCCGGGTCAAGCTCCGGGTGGCATTGCAGGGTTCAAGAGCGTCGGCGCGACAAACACCGCAGGACTTGGTGCCATCGCCATTTTGATTGATGCGCGAAAATGACATTTGCCGAAAGTTGGCTTTTTTTCCCCAATTGACCTGGCTGTACCACATCTCCCTCGTAGTGCAAAAGTAGCAGCAGGACAGAACAAGAGTACAAGTTTGGTTTTGTGCCTCCAAACGGGCACTTATTAACGTCAAGCGCGTGGGTCCGGGGCGGGCAGCAAGATGCGTGGTCCAGTTGCAGTTTTAATCCAGGGGATTTAAGAAACTTGCGCCACTGTTTCAACTTCTAAGCTGGGGGATTGAATCAAACCGGCGACTTTGGGATCGCAAGTCCAGTCCGCTGACCGTTACACCGCGGTGGCAGCGTCCGTAATTGCTATTTGTTGCTCGAACCAAGGAAAGTTGTCCGTGGCTAGGAGATGTTACCTACCTCTCCTTGTATACAGGAGGTCGCCAGTTCGATCCCGACCCTGGCGTCTGCTGCTGTGTGTTTGGAGTGTGCGTGGTTGCGTGGATTTTTCTCCGGGTCCTTCGGTTTTTCCCCACACATTTAGAAACATGCGTTTTAGAGTATTTGGCTGCAATCCATTTGGACATGATAAGCCACTAAGTCGAGCTATCATTTGTGCCCAGGCCGCTTCTAAAAAAAATAGCTATATAGTTCAGTGGGCCTTACCTGGTAAAAAAAAAAATAGTTTAATAATTTATTGACAAATCAGGTTTCGTTCAAATTCCATGACCCCTGTTATCAAATGGACATTATCTGTCTGCGAAAAACTCCAATTATCCATCGGATACATATCTCCTCCTGTTATTCACAGTTATTTGACGGATATGAGGAGTCACCTGGAAGCGGATCATTATTAGAGTGCTCCGTAGAATGCGGCGGTTTTCTGTGGTCAGTGGAGTGAGAAGGGAGGCGAGGTATGGAGGCGGTGGGTGGGGAGACGAATGAGGAGCGATTTTGTTAATTCTAGATTTAAAGCTTTCGTGACTGCTAGGATCCATACTCTTTGGTTCTATTGGGTAAAGTAACGTAGGTAAAAAATTAAATAATAAAAATCACGACGTTTCGGCCACAACACAAGCGGCCTTCATCAGGTGAAGGGACGAGACTGTCTGGAGGACAGCGCTGGAGTGAAAAAAGCCACGCTCAGATCACGACCTTTAAGCTGTGTGAGAATAAACAAAGCGCCTTGACAAAGGAATTAGCATATAATTTAGCATTGAAATGGCTCGTTGAAATAGCTAAGTTAAAGTATACACATCCGCAGAGGTACCCCTTGACAAACGAATTAGCATAGAATTTAGCATTGAAATAGCTGAGTGATTAGCTTGTAACTGGTCACAGAAATAGCTATGTTAAAGTCAGAGCATATACATTCACCGAAACACAACCACGCTCAGACCGTGGTTGTGTTTCGCTAAATTCTCCTGTTTGATTTGTACTAGGTGCCTCGGTGAATGTATATGCTCTGACTTTAACATAGCTATTTCTGTGACCAGTTACAAGCTAATCACTCAGCTATTTCAATGCTAAATTCTATGCGAATTCCTTTGTCAAGGGGTACCTCTGCGGATGTGTATACTTTAACTTAGCTATTTCAATGAGCCATTTTAATGCTAAATTATATGCTAATTCCTTTGTCAAGGCGCTTTGTTTCTTCTCACACAGCTTAAAGGTCGTGATCTGAGCGTGGCTTTTTTCACTCCAGCGCTGTCCTCCAGACAGTCTCGTCCCTTCACCTGATGAAGGCCGCTTGTGTTGTGGCCGAAACATCGTGATTTTTGTTATTTTATTTTTTACCTACGTGACTTTACCCAATAGAACCAAAGAGTAGCCATTTTGTTTATTCGCCCCACCGTATGAGCATCGTTTTTGTTTTCACTCCCGCCGCCTTCTTTGTTTGTTGTTGTTGTTGTTGTTATTTATAAACGACCAAGCGTACCTGCTGCGAATCCGGTGGATGCGGTTGCATAGTTGGTGCTGCTTGAGTCGAAATTGTTTGGTATTTATAGTGCTCGGTTCGCCCCTCCTTTGAAGGCATCTTTGCCCTTCGTCGTTAACCCCATTGCAATTCTGAGTTTGATGCATGGGCAGTGCGTGTGCGAGTGGATTAGAAACTCATTTCAGGCAGTGCCCCTGTATCAAGCGGTATTTTTGCGTACATGGCTACGCTCGCGTGCATTGCGTTTTTCATTTACTTACGCAGCAGTTGATACGATAAGGTCAGCCCCGTATGCAAGCGTGTACAATCAGTTATGTTGTATACGGCACATCACGCGTACCTTTCTATCGGGCCATGAGCATAAGTATTGCCACTGAAATGAGATCAGTCAGTTCAGTCGATTGATTTCATGTAAGCCCCTTTGAGTTAAGAAGCTCGTGTTCAATGGCGACCCATCCAAATGTGACTGACACAGAAGCAGGCACGTTACACGGGAAGGGACGGTTTACAGGGGCTGCATCGCAAGGCTGGTACGATGGGAGCCGGCACGTTGCATGGGAACGGTTTACAGCGGCTGCATGTGCGGTTCCTGATGGGCTGCTCTAGCTCTTGGGCCCAATCCGGACCATGGGCCCTGGTGCAATTTCACCGCCGCCGCTGCACGCTCGATGGCTATGCCAGCGAGGCTTTCGGGGACGTTGTTCAGTTTTGTTGTCGTCCACTGTGATTTGTGCGCTGGTTTTTTTTTTCTTCATTGTAGGAAAAAAAATTGCCCCCTTTGGTCCACTGTCGCCTGGTATCTCCACGGTAGGCCGCCGAGGGTTGTCAGAGGTCGGTGCATCTGCATCATGCACGGAGGATAACAAATCATTGGCAATGGGTGTTTTGTGTGTGGGTGTCACTGGCGTGAAAATAATAACGGCACTGCGGGCGACGACTTTTCTCAATGAAAATTACTTGGCGGGTGCGATGTTACTCCGAATCAAGGCCGTAATTATAATATATATTGGGACACACACACCCCTCCTCCCCCCAATATTCAAATATGCTCAAAATGTCCCCCACAATGTATTGCTATAAAAAATAATTTGCTATGCTATGTAAATAAATAAATAAATTGATAAATCTTGGCCACAATATCTGGACTTGTCTTCATATAAATCAATGCATAGATTTCTGTTTATATGATTGTGGTTATGGTTGTACTTTATTAATCCCTAATATCTGCCATTACATACACTGAAACAATTAATGGTAAATAAGTAAAAGCAAAGCAATGTAATACAATACACAATTAGACATTATTGTAAAAAATAAAATAAAAAGTCCATCCCATGTGTTAGTGAATTTTTTTAATATTTTAAGCAGGAAATTAGTATTCAAATTTAGATATTTTTCTGGTTTGGGACCCCCAGACACCCTGGAAGATTTGGTCCCCCCTAATGTGGACTCCATGGCTACGGCCTTGCTCCGAATGGAAACCTGTTTTTGGGCACTTTGCCAACGATTCGTTGAGGGAGAACGGCAGGTTGCACACGTTTGCTATTGTTGGGGGGGGGGGGGCATATTTAGATTTTGGCTAAGGGGCTCCTCCGCCCACCGCCCCGTGGTGTTCAAGCAGCGGAGATGACACGACTGCAAATGGAATCCCATTCTTGTGGGGGGGGGGGGGGTGAGCAGGCGAGGCCGACGGGCGGAATGGGTGAACGGCAGGGAAACGTCTGTTGAGTTGCATAAAGGACACGAATGTCAACACGTTCATCGGCAACGCCGTGTCCTTAAAGGGGGGGGGAAGGAAGAAGAACTTGAAGAAGAAGAACTTGAAGAAGAAGAAGAGGAAGAGGAGGAAGAAGAAGAAGAGGAAGAGGAGGAAGAGGAGGAAGAAGAAGAAGAAAAGGAAGAAGAAGAAAAGGAAGAAGAAGAAGAGGAAGAGGAGGAGGAAGAAGAAGAAGAAGAAGAGGAAGAGGAGGAAGAAGAAGAAGAAGAAGAAGAAGAGGAAGAAGAAGGCTGACTCCCCTGTCAAGAAGAATAAGAAGACTAATGGGCTGAGGTGGTTGGAAGGTGACGGAAGGTTGTGAGATGAGATTGAAAGTGGAAAGGTGTTGTATGAACAATTGGCAATCTTTGACATAGCAGATAGCAAAACGTTGTCAGATGGCATCAAAATCGGTAATGTGCAATCTCAAGGAGCTGCTGCTGCTGCTGCTACCTTATTTATTTTTCCCCTCCTCAAAAAGGCTGAGAGGCGACGGGGCACGGTGAAAGGAAGGGGCGACGACGATGCCGTCAGCGACGTTCCAGTGTGCGAGGGGTTTAGGCGACGCAAATCGGGCAGTAGCGGTGTGTCGATATTTATAAGGCGGCGACGAGTTCGCGAAACGACGCGGAAGGGGGGAGACGCGTATCGGGTTATTGCCGTTTATAAATGGAAGTGGGTTTTTTTTTCTCGTCAATTTTAATTTTGTTTTGATCAATTTTAAACGTTTCAACCAACTTCAAAGCAAGCGTAACCCAGAGTGTGTTGGTTGGTGAAGGGGAGTTGCGTAGACCTGGTGGGGGGTGGCATAGAAGCACAGTTCGACAATTTATGTTGCTACGCTGCCATCTGCTGCCCGCCACTAGCAGGGGAACGTGGGTCTGCGGATTGTTCATGTGCAGTAAAACATTGTTTTAATAATTTGAATTGAAAAAGCGCCCTTAAACAATCGTTCTCAGTGTTACTACTCCCCACACTGCGGACACGCCTGACCATCAACCCCTCGGCATTACAAAGACCAACATCTCCCATATAGCCTTCAACAAACTGTTGGGGCAAGGGCCGTTAGCTAGGAGCAACGCCTACGAAGGCCGGCACTGTGGCATGCGACGGGGGTGGGTGGCCAGCACCACGCACGGCCGCCTTTGTCTCCCCAGTGGCGGTGTTTACACATCGCACCGGGTGCTCATTTGAAGCTGAGTCGACCCAAGGGAGGCCCAGGACCGGTTCAGATCATCGTCACTGGTGTTGGTGGCCGTGAGCGGGAATCGAACTCGGCCCGCCGGGATCGCAGCGCAGTGCGCTAACCGCTGCGTCGCCGCTCCCCTCGCCCCCAGTAGCAGACGATTGCTCCGTGTCACCGTCGCGATATTAAAATCCCCACCCATCCTTCCATGTTATTTAAGATGGTCTCACCCTAATGCATTATTGCTGAAGAAGGCCTGTCAGAGGAAAGATCAGGATGTTCGTGTCATATAAATTAGATGTTTTGTTTGATTTGTTTTTATCTTCACATGACCTATTATAGTGTAAGGTCAACATAGCAGGAAGAACAGGTCAATGCTTCGGCGATGACCTTTGAACTGCGAGGTGTCTGTACGTCTGCGAATGATTTTATGCTGTGTGTATGAGCCTACGGGTCTCTATGTGAGTCTATAGGTCTCTGTGAATATATGAGTTTCCGTGTCAGTTCATGGGTATCTGTGTGAGTCTATGAATATCTGTGTGAGTCTCTAGGTCTCAGTGTGAGTCTCTGGGGCTCAGTGTGAGTCTACGGCTGTACATGTCTCAGTATGTCTGTTTGAGTCTCTGGGTCTCTGTGTGAGTCTCTGGGTCTCTGTGTGAGTCTATGGGTCCACGGGTCTCAATGTGAGTCTATATGTCTGTGTGAGTCTATGGGTTTCTACGTGAGTCTCTGGGTCTATGGGTCTCAGTGTGAGTCTCTGGGTCTCTGTGTGAGTGGTGTTTTAGTCAGCCAGTAACTACCCACTGCTAGGTAAAGGCCTTCCCTCATTCTCTCCCCTTCTGTCCTCACCCGGGTTGCTCCTGTCCAGCTGTGGCCGACAAACTCAGTGATGTCCTAAGCCCTCTTGTGGACTCTATGCAATAAAAACAAAAAAAATGAGTTGCATGCATTTAAATTCAAGCCGGTATGTTATTTAAAACAATAATAATGCCGTCAAAAAATCCTTTGGAATGTATGAAGATGTGGAAATACAAAGCACGGTGAGTCCGCGGGGGCAACGTTGAATTGACCGTTTGGAAATGCGGCGCCCTTATCGGCAACTCTCTCTTCCCTCTCTCCCCCCTCGCAATAGGAAAGCTGTGCACGTGTCCTCCTTTATCGGGGGATGAACAAGGAAATCAAAAACTACAGCAATCAGACTCCGTTCCAGGTGCGTGGCCGGTTCACATCTCAGACACAGACTGCGTGGTGAATGCTGCTGCCGTTGTTGTTGTTGTTCTTGTTGTTGTCATCACAAAGCTTCCCACTGCTGCCCAAAAACCTCTCCCATGTGTTTCCATTATTTTCTTTACTTCCAAATATTTTTAATTCTAAAAATTTTTTTTACCAGGTAAGACCCACTGAGATATGTAGCTTTTGTTTCAGAGGTGACCTGGCCATCACAGGATAGCTCAACCAAGTGGTTCTTCGTGTTGAAATGTAAAGCAGCAGCCACATACTCGAGACGCACGCTGATTATGATTGTGGAGGTGGAAACCCGGAGGACCCGAAGGAAAATCCACACAACCACGGGGAGGGAGGCAACTCCAGATATACAGCAGGCATTCGTCAGGGTCGGGATCGAACCCACGACCTCGTGCGTACCAGGCGAGGTCGTTAACATCTCCTAGCCACCGTGATGATGATGAGAGAGAGACACGCAAACTCCAACTGTACAGCAGCAGGTATCGTCAGTGTCGGGATCGAACCCAGGACCTCCTGCGTACCAGGTGAGGTAGTTAACATCTCCTAGCCACCGTGATGATGATGAGAGAGAGACACGCAAACTCCAACTATACAGCAGCAGGCATCGTCAGGGTCGGGATCGAACCCACGACCTCCTGCGTACCAGGCGAGGTAGTTAACATCTCCTAGCCGTGGTGGGTGCCCCTCTCATAATAAGTGGTTCCACTTTCTGCTGTAGCCCATGGACTATATGTGGAATGCCGTCGATGTGGGGCAGGCCTTCATCCAGCAGTGCACAAACGATCGGGATTGTAGAAAGGAGACACTCTAGCAGCAATTCACAAGCACAGTGATGCGTATGAGACAGTGCACATTGGGTGCCACGACAACGAGATGTTAACTACTTCGCCTGGTACACAGAAGGCCGTGGGTTCGATCCTGAGCCTCATGATGCCTGTGTATATGGAGTTTGCATATTCTCCGTGTGGTCGCGTGGATTCTTGTCTGCATCCTCCGGGTTTTCCCTCCACATTTAGAAACGTGATTTCGAGAGTATTTGGCTGCTATAAATTTCAACGCGATAAGCCACTTTGTTGGGCTATCACTTTGTGTTCTAGATTTGAAGCTTTCGTGACTGCTAGGATCCATACTCTTTGGTTCTATTGGGTAAAGTCACGTAGGTGAAAATAAAATAACAAAAAATCACGACGTTTCGCCCACAACACAAGCGGCCTTCATCAGGTGAAGGGACGAGACTGTCTGGAGGACAGCGCTGGAGTGAGAGAAGCCACGCTTAGATCACGACCTTTAAGCTTGTGATCGCGGCAGTCTCGTCCCTTCACCTGATGAAGGCCGCTTGTGTTGTGGCCGAAACGTCGTGATTTTTTGTTATTTTATTTTCACCTACGTGACTTTACCCAATAGAACCAAAGAGTACTATCACTTTGTGGCCAGGTCGCTTCTGACAAAGGGCTATACCTGGTAAAAAAAAATAAAAAAAATAGTTTACTTTAATAGTTTTAGTTTAGTCCAGCAACTATGCAAACGAAATAGCCGAACCAATTGAATTTGTAATTCGGGAGACAATTTAATGTTCTCATTCAAGGCGAAGGGGAATGCGTGCTGCCCACAGTGAAGTGTGATTAACTACAGCAGTGTGGCGTGAATGAAAATCCAGCTCGCCATCAAGGCCAATTGTGCATTTGATTTTCGGTTTGTATTTTGAATGTGTTAAAAGAATAGCACCACGCCCGCGTTGCCTGTAGCGATTTAATTGCAATGCCTCGTGCGCGCGCGCGCGTGTGTGTGAGTGGTAGTGTAGTGCTCGCTAACAGCACTTGCCCCTACAGTCTGTTAAGGCTATACGGGGGGATCTTTGTAGTGGTTAGCGGGCTGCGCTACGAACCTGCCGACTCCCGCTCACGGCCAACACCAGTGACGATTATCCGAACCGGTCTTGGGCCTCTCCTAGGTCGACTCAGCCTCAAATAAGTACCCGGTGTGGTGTGTAAACGTCGCCACTGGGGAGACAAATGGCGGTCCGTCGGACGTGGTGCTGGCCACCCACCCCCTCATGTGCCGTGCCGGCCTTCAATAGGTGCTGCTCGCTAACAGCACTTGCCCCAACGGTCTGTTAAGCCTATACGGGGGATCTTTGTCTGTTGAGTGGCGTATGAGCGCGTCGACTTGAATGCGTTAGGAATTTGTATTTCTCCAAGCGCAAAGTTAATTGAGAACCAACATTTTAGTTTTTTATTGCTCGTGTTAATAATTAAAATTTACATATTTAATCTTGAAGCTGTTGGTGTTTATTAGACACGGTTGTATTTTATATAAGCATGTGTCCAAACATATTAAGAGTTGTCCGGCTGTATTATACTTCGAGGACTATTATAGTATTTAATTACCTTCACATTAAAATATTATATTTAGCGTCATTACACATTTCATACACACCATATAAATGCCACGAATGCAGAAATGCATTTACTTGCTTATCCGGTAAAAGGCGCGGTGAGTCGTAGAAGTACATTTGGGTTTTTTTTTCATTTAAAGATGTTTTGAGCCAATTCATGAATCTCATGGCGATTAGCCCGCTTGCCGTACCGCCTTCTCTTGGCGATGCAGGGGTATGACGGCTCCTCCTTGACACCCCACGGGAAGGGAGTTTCGCAACATCTGCAACGCGCGGTGATCCACCAACCCTAGCCGCTGCCTCCATCCACAAGTGCCGGATTACAGGCAGCCACGTGCAGTAGCGTAGCCACCGCCTCCCTGCAAACAACAACAAAAGCATTAATAGTAATAACAACAATCGCGCGGACCTATTTTTGACATCACAAATCAAATTTGTTTGCTCTAATTAACCCCGAATCTGAACCGTTTCCCCACAAGGAACGGATCCGATTAGAAACGAATGAGCGACGATAAAACAGGCTAATATTTGACCCTTGGTTTAATTTCGCAGTGCAATAATAACGCCGGCGAAAAAAATTGAATATGCCCTACATAAAATCGAACGTTACGGATAACTCTGCGGATGCACCGGCGCGACGGACCGCCTGACCGCTCACTGCGGATTTTGTCGATCCGCGATCGTTTTAAACCTCGCCTGCAAACGAGCCGGACCCGCAGCTCTGGAAACCCCGCGGCCAATCAAGGCGATTGAAAGGAGAACACTCGGCGGCCAAACCGACAATTAATGGCTGTGAGAAGATTTAATTTTCGGTTTCTTGTTAGCATTTCCGTAACATTCACGCGCGGGAGGCACAGAGGGCCCGATGATCAATTCGCCTCTGCGCAGCAACGGCAACGAGAAGGGGCTGCTGCGCTCGTCCAACGTTGATCGGACGTTGGCCATCCGACGTTGTCCCGACGCTGCTGCGCCTGTCCGCTGAAATGAAAGCGGGCGAAAGGGACGTCGGTAATTTCGGCGATGAGAAATCGACAGGCCAAAAGCTAGCACGTCCATTTGAGAAGTAATAATCATGATGACAGCAGTGCGGCGGGCCACAGAGGGGAGGTGCGAGTCGCAAGAGGGCAACCGCTGCCGAAGTGGAACGATGAAATTGGATCAGTTGATGTGCGGGCAAAAGCAAATGGGGAGCGCTCTGCGCATGCATGCGCATACAGTACGTACGTTGAACTTCCTTCGCACCGTACGTAGCCAACCGTGCTGATCGGAGGTGCGGGGGAAGGACGACAAACTATGGATCTTCGCGTGATGAGCCTGTGGGTCTCTGCGTGAGTCTTTGTACGTACGTTGAACTTCTTTCGCACCGTACGTAGCCAACCGTGCTGATCGGAGGTGCGATTAGCAACGGTTGGGATGGCGATGGAAAAGGCTGAGAGGCCTTTCGTCCAGCGGGTAGAGCGACAGTTGCCGTCCGTAATGCCGTTTCTTTATTTATTTACTTACTCTGCCCGTACATTCCCATTTGTCCAAGGTAATGGAGGGTCGGGCCATCTCATTGCCCTCATAATAACAGCACACGGTTCTGCACCGCTGGGCACAGGCACCGATGGCACGGAGAGAAGGGAAGGCAGCTGACGTGGCGCAGGATGAGCCTCCGTTGTACATTACAACGACTTGTTCCGAGTCTGTTTACGACATCACATCGACGCCTCTATTTATGGAACGAAACTGGTGGACTTCTCCACAAAATCTGGCTGTCGCCTGATGAAGCCGGTTGTAATTACTGGCGAAACGTCGTGCTCGAGATTGTTAATGTTGTGGCTTGGCTCTCCAACACACCGGTGTGCTCTACTAGTGACGAATTGGCACGTTTTGTTTACGTGACAAACCTTACTAAATTGGCTGTGTCGGGTGGTGGTGGGTTTAACGACACATTCATATATATTTACGCGATCTAACCCAAAAAAAACCTGTGTTATGGAAGTCTATTTACGTTTGTTGTTTTAAACATAGCCGCCAATGTGCTGTGTGTACAGCTCACAAGCGATATTAAAGCGTGCGAGTAACGGATGATGATGATGATGAAAATGATGTTTTACTCTCTGGATTATGTAACAAAAAAATGTGTTTACGGTGTTGCATTATTATGTCAGTGCTGTACCAGTATAACTGCTTCGCGGGATTATGTTCATTAATGCTTCCGTCACAAGCTCGTAAACTCAGTCGGCTCTTGGCGGGTGGATGTTGCTACCTGTTAACGAATCCAGCTGCAGTTCAATGCAACATCTGATCTTTGTTTTCTTTAAGTTTTCCAGCTCACGGCATGCGGTTGTTGGGGAAACAAGAGCGACGTTTGTGATGCGAATTAGTTTAATCCCCTTACAAAAATAATTGAATTTTTTTTTATGAAAAAAAACACATTTGCATCTGCGCCCAATTTTCCCCGCCCATTTTCAAATCATCGCCTTGCTCGTGATTTTTAATTAACAAATTGTAACGTTGATTCATAATTGGCTTTGTTGTTGTTGTTGTTTAGATCGTGCAGGTATAATTAACTATAACCCTGCACC